CTGAAGGTAAACAAGAATGCACAAATTTAGTATGTGCTAACATTGCATGATTCTGGCAAATCTTAGGTTCTGTGGGGGCTTGCTGCCATTTCTGCATGCTAAATCCTGGCTTAAAGTGTAGTACTTAAAGTGTACAAGTGATGCTCAAATACAAGACACAACCTAGGCAACTAAAGTGGAGAACATCAGTTGGTTTTAATGCATACTGCAGGGCATGGATCTTAAGACAGAGGCAAAGAAGCACCACTTGAAATCTCAGCAACAAAGAACTACAGGAAAGGTTGCCAGCCTATTTCCCCTGGGCTACAAGGTTTTTAAGCAGAGCTCCCATGCTGGCACTCTGCCCCACATCCAACAGAGGTGCTGTGCTTATGTCGGATAAATCCCCACTGTGAAAGGGAGTAATTTATCAGCTGGTACTGAAGTTGACATTACACACTTCATTAAACCTTGAAGTTACACCCTTCAGCCTAGCCCTGACCCACAATGGACAGCTAGCATTCCTGGGAGCCACTGTCACTTCCCACCTGCAAAAAGCACACAGTACCCTTCTCCCTTGGCTCACTGAAGAACCAGCTGGCTGTCTGGCAGTCCTAGATTTTGGTATGCGGCTCAGAGGGCCAGGAAGACTGGTCATGCCACATCTGCAATATTTAAGATTCTTGGTTATGAGAACTACAAGGTCCTTTACAGGTAAAGGGCTGCCTGCACAAACCGTGCAGTGAAGACACTTTGGTGCCATGCCTGCTTCTGCAGACGTGAGATATGGTTCAAGTGGCATAAAGGCTTCTCCTGACAAATTGTTCCTGTAACTTCCTGCTACAAAAGGATGACAGCAAGAAAAAAAACCCAACCATCATCAACAAGATTTTCCAACTGTGACTTTCACATGCTGGCAAGACCTCTTCATAGCCCTGCTTTGAGAAACAAGCAATCTGACATATTCTGACACCGACATCACTTCTAGGCCAGAGCCCAAGTCAGTCAGGAACATGAAGGAACAAATGCACAGCTGTATCACTGACATGTTGCTAATATTCAAATATAACCATGTGAGGACATGATTTTTCCAGGCCTCACATGTGATTTAAGAAAGATCCTCAAGGGGCATAGTATGCTGCATTACAAATTCCTCATAGATGACACATAATTACCTCTATTTTGGAAAGGATTAGAAGAAACACTGGAGGGGAGTCCAAAATACACCAGTGACATTCTTTAAACACCATACTAACAATTTAATTTTAATTGCATGGGTGCAAAAAGATGTTGTATAAACAAAATGGCAAACTATCCCAATATTGAGCCAACAAGAGATTTTGCATGTCCGTAATGTTATGTCAGTATTCTCCAAATCAAACTTACTGTGTAAAACCAAAAAACCCCAAGCATTTTCCCCAAGAAACTATTTGTATGATTTCTTTTAAAAGGAAACAAATAAAAACCTGTATCCATTATTATTCATTTGTAGGTCGTCTTTAAGCTAGCAGAACACTCCCTGCACAAGGAGATAAATATTACTATTACAAGCATGTTGTCTGAATGTAAGTGGGACTTAACAACGATCCAGTCAAAAGGAAGCCATGTCAAACTTGGCACCCAAAGAATGAGGCCTCTCTACACTACAGACTGGATACTTAAGACATTTCTCCCTCAAGCCAATGGAGCTCTGAAAATTTACACTAGCTGAGGATCTGACTCATAACATTTTATCAAGGGATGAACGAATCAGTGACACGATCTGCTTTAAACAGGATTTATGGACACCCACAACATGTCACAGACTGCTAACCACGTGTTATCTCTGCTGAACTTATGTTCAGAGGGTTTACCCGCCTGAGGCACTTTGCTTTAAATTTCTGTCTTTTTAGACTTGTCCTGTGTGCTCTTCCTTTTGCTGCTGTCCTCCTTTTCTCCTTCAGTTTCTTTGTAGAATCTCCCCAGGTAAACAAAAAGCAAGCAGATGTGGGTGTGGTAATGTAATTTGGGAGCTCCTCCCAACTACTGGAAATGCAGCTTCAGTTCTAGCAAGGAACATTTCCACATCAGCTTTCATCTCAGTTGAAAAACAAGTGAGGATACCTTGGGTTTTGTGGTGTGGTGGGTTTTTTTGTTTGTTTTGGGGTTTTTTGTTTGTTTTGTTTTTTTTGTTTTTGTTTTTTCCTTCAGCTCTCGTTATAACTTTGGACTAGGAGATTCAAATTATTGTAAACAGTGTCACAATGGGATCAAAAGCTCACATTGCAAAAGCATGCAATGTGCACTCTCTCCTGTTTCTTAAAAACTTCAAGGCATAGGGGTCTGACAGATAATAGAGATCTACCACGTACATAATTCACAGCTTGTACCGTACGCTCACTCTTAGCTCCGGGTTTTTGCAAAGTTGCCAAACATTCAGATGCCAATTAAAACACTAGAATCCAGTCCTTACACAGAGATTAAGTAATTCAGCACAGTGTCTCTGCAAGCTATAATTAAAAGCAGTTAGCTTCATTACAGGGAGAGCAAAAGTAAAGAAGCAGAGACCTATTTTTGGTATTGTTTTCCTATAAAATATACCGTACGCTACATCTAACCCATTCACCACTCTCCAGCTGTATTCAGTCAAAAGTAATCAGAACAAACCAAATCTAAGCACTATGGCTAGCACATTTGAGGAGACACAAGGTTAAGGAAATCTTAGAATCTGAAGTATTAACTTCTACAGTATTACCTGGCTAATTAGCCAATTACTCTCAAATTATTGTTGCTAAATTTAAAATTATTATTTTCAGTAACAGGTCAACTGTGCTGATGATACGGGCAAACAAAAAGGGACCTCAGTTTCTCAGGTTCAGTACATACATAATGTGCAGAGCAGTACCTGCTCCTTCCCTGAAAGGACTCACAGTTTAAACATCCTTCCATAGGATGGAGACAAAGATATTAAGCACAACAAAGGAACTAATGTGAAGGCAAAACCAGTTTTACAGCTATTTAAAAATCTTAATTATGTCTAAATATCTGTATTATTGCCGACTGTGGGCTAAAAGAAGAATAAAATACAGTTATTCACCCCAGACTTATTAGGAGATTGATATCTAGGCATTCACTGTGAGACAGTAAGTATATTTAACAGTAGCTATTGTATTAATACAAGGGTAATACAAGTAACTTAACATTTGTATTTCTCCCCCACCTGCTCCCAACCCCATATCAGGTATCTTAGCACACTGTCCCTACCCATTGCGCTGACGACACAGAAACTGAAGCAGATGACTATTGACATTTGGCAGGAAGCTGCACTTGCAAATATCAACTGCGATTCATTACAGTTAATTACATTTTTGTCAAACAGTATGATGTCATATTATCTGAAGTAAAAAATGTTCCCTCATGTCATAGAGCATCTTAATTACCGTCCTAAGAACATGCACACAAAGGTTTCTTTTCATTCTGCCCTGATCCTCCATGCAAAAATAATATGAAAGTGTGTAACATATAAAAGTCTTGCAAATACATTATCTGCCACTTACAGTTTGGGATACCATTAAAATGTAAAATAAAATACATCCAGATGAGCCAGTTTCCATATATACAATAGTACATGACCGACTGTCTAGCAGACAGAAAAAACATTCTTAAAAGACACGTTTTCATATTCTTCAAGTGACTTCCATAGACAAAATTAACCTTTGTTGATATCTCTGCAAACATAGAATATTCTAAAAGAAATATATGCATCTGTTTCATATTTTATGTGATATCTTTCACCCTTTCTCTTGCCTATGTCTAAGAACACTTTTAGAAGTGAGAAACGTTGAATTCTTTATCAGAGCAACTTTTGACCCATCCTTTGTTAATCCGGGTACCTTGTGATCAACTGATTTTGTGTTCTTCACTCCTACAGGCATCTTTCATGTGCAGATTAGAGTGAAGAGCCAGCGAGTACTTTACACCTTCTCTCAGTAAAGTCTTGCATAATATGATCTTGGTCTGGACAGACCGTTATTAAAGCACTATAAAGCACCGGCTGCTACTATTAAAATGGAATATACAGGAGGAAACAATAAGGGTGAATGAATGAATGAATGAAGAGCAACATGATGATGGTTACACATCTGATGGTTCCAGACAGAGATATTGTAAAAACTCTGTTCCACATTAAATCAAGTAATGGATTTTAAGCAGGAAATAGCCTAGTCTAACACACTGCACATTATAGGCCACAGAAACACACCAAATAGATCAGATATCACGTTCACGGGTATCAGAATGAAATAAGAAAAGGATGGGTAGTCTCATCTCTTAAATTATGTCAAGATAGCAGGAAGTTTTAAATTCTAGTCTTGGTCCTTCCACTAACTTGAGAAAGTAGTATAACCAGTTTGCCTGAGTGTCACTAAAAAGTCAGAGTACTTACATATCCCACAAGGATACTGTCAGGTTTAATTAATTATGTCTGTAAAATCCTTTCTAAATGAAAAGTGGCAAGCATGACTTATTAATTAAGTCTAAACCACCACTACAGAATCAGGCTGATCATTGTTTTATCAAGAGAATAACATTTCTAATAAAATACATTTCAAATGGGAAATTATAATAACAGCCTTTTTGACTTCTTTAGACTTTTTTGTGAGGAGCAAGGCAATAAACTTTTGATGAGTTCTAGGAATAGAAGTGCAATCAAGAACAAGAGATACAGGAACACTCACCCACTGACATTAACGTGGCACTAGCTAAACAGCACTGCATAAATCATGAGAATGGCGACTATATACCTCACACTGCTGTAGGACCCAGCTGAAAGAAAACTACTTCTCTGCCTATTAGATGTCACTTGCTTGTAGTCTGACTACGTGCAAGGGTCTGCACAGGTCACCTAGGTACAGCCACCCAGAACCAACTACAGCATTAGTAGCCCAAAACTACCTATAAGGTGGCAATGCAGGATTTAAAAAGGGCCTGATTTCCATTAATATGAGTCTATTGCTGTCAGCTCACATGCTCACAGCTATAGCATGTATCTGCAGGCAGAATCCAGGCGTCAGGTATGAATGACAGCTGTCATTGATGCACAGCTCCTCTTGGGGTGCAGCGAGCCCTCTTTTTTGGTCCTCTTTTCCCTGTGATGGCAGCTGTGTTAGCTAAAGTACTCCTCACTAGGAAATTATAATCCAGTTGGTGCTCACTAGGGCCAGGAATTCATCAGTGCAGATAAAAGAGTAGTTCAGAACATTCAGAAAAGACGTGGATCAAACAACCTGTAAATTACAGTGAATGAGCACATCCACTGGACAGTCCTGTGGCCCAACTCTTTCCTGGACAACTCCGCCTATTTGGCCTGTACTGGCAAGCTCCACACCCTCAACGCCAATAGCTGGAGTTTCAGAAGAGGAAATGAATCATGTCCTCGGAATGCAACTGAAATCCCACAGATCTAAGAAAATACTTATTCATCTGCAGATATATACATGCATACCTCATATATTGCCAGTTACATTTCAATCAGATACAGCATATGAATAAAAATATCCCAGATCTAGTGGTACTTAACATTAGGTGGCATTCCAAAAATATGGCACGGGATTATAAATGAAACAAGCAGTACCACATGACTTAAAATATAATGTTGACTGAATTTGGGACCAGTCCAGCACAAAATAACCACATCTTCTCCAGGCTACACAGACATTAGGTTTGAACGGTCGCGCTATGGCAACATGACACATAATTCAGAAATATCAACTTGTGATAGAAAGACAGTAGGGATTTTCTAGACTGGGTCAAAATGCTCTGCGAAAACATTTTTGCTAAAATTAATATAGCGTAAGAAAGGGTAAGCAAAGTTTGATTTGTCGGCCAAGACAAGCCCATGGGGAGATCTCCTTAATGAAATAATTACTAACTTATGTTTGCGTGTGATGTCCCCACTTCTGGGTCACATCGCTTTTCTGCCTCTTTGTCTCCCAGTTTCCTCCTTTCTTGACACAACAACTGATGACAGCCAGGTACAAGATCCATGCTCACACAGGCCCAGCTAAGCAGCATGGCTCTTCCACAAGCAAAAAGGGTGGGACATCCACAGCACTGAACTTTCTGTAATGGCCAAGCAGCTCAGACACAAACCCCGTATTTTTGAAACGGCATCGATTCTCAAGACATAGGGGTCTATCTTGCTTGCTAACAGTGGGGTTTCAGGGTGCCAGGTGCCACCCTGGCAGGGGAGCCCCCCTGAGGAGGGGACAGGGCTGAAGTGGGCAGATTATGTCATGGGCAACCTTCCTTCCCCATGCTGCTACTAAACAAAATTGGAAATCTTCATTATGTGGAAATAAGGCAAAAGGTGTATTTCACTGCAGATCTCAGGGCAGCCCAACCATGTCTTTGCCAGTGTTGGCAATGGTTCCCACCAGAGACAGCTGGTAGTCACCTACCTTCATCCTCTAGCTGGATAATTATGTTGAAGACATGGAGAAGATTTGAAGCCACCAAAGAATGCAGAAGCAACACCGTTCAGATCATCATCATACCTTTGTATGTGTCCTTCCCTGGAGAGGTAGAGCTGTGCATTTTCTTCTAACCAGTTCTTCAAACTCCTGCTTACAGGTGATTACCCCATGTCATGAAGAGCTGAGTGTGGCCTCCTGCTCCAGCTCAACTTTCACTCGGATTCAAAAACATTTTATGTGACTATGTAACAAAATCTAGCCCAAATATTAGAGTTTGGGGCCTCTCCACATCGATACTCTAAAACGCATGTAGCAGAACAAGCCACAAGGACAGTCCATCATCCTGCAAGTCCTCACGTGAAGTTTGCACCATATCTGATTGGACAGTTAACAGCTGCACATTTCCATTACACTTGGAGCACTTTGCAATGGCAGCACTGCCCCTTCCCAGCCGCCTGAGGTGGTATGAGTATTTCAATTCTTATGCTGCTGCCACCACTACTAAAACCACAGAGCAGATGAGCATGTTTAGAGCCATGGTCCATTTTGCTATATGCTCAGAGAGTCGATGTGACAGGTTGTAAAAAGCCTTTACAACCTGGTAGGCTGCACATATCGGTCTGAATTACAACAATAGAGCTGTCTCACGTAAAAAATGTAAAGGACAGAAACTGCTTTCCAAGGATGGCTTCTGGTATCACTTATGCTGGGAGACAGGGACATTTCTCTGAGCAGCACACTCAAGACACAGTGCTCAGGGTCTTTTCCTAAAGCAAGATACCAGGACACCCTGTGTAAAACTTGGGATGGTATGAGCAGATCCATTCCCTCCCAGGCAAGGGTGCCACACTCCGGTGTTTCCATTCCCAAAGACTGACCACTAAATATACCTAGATTGTCATTTAACATTACGTGTGTAAAAAAAAAAAAAAAGATAAATTGAGTCCCTACAAGGATCGAAGTGTCAGACTGACTCAAAAATATCAGAAATACAGGTTGCCTTACGTCCAGTTTGAGGCTCCAGCACTCAAAAACCACAGAAACGCACCAACTAGGAAATCCTTTAAAGCTCCAATTAAGGAAAAACAATTAACAGCGATGAGCAGCCCCGTCAAGCCACCCGAGAAGGAGAGACCCTCGCACGCACGGCCAAGCCTCAGGGCGCCCCGCAGAAGGGCCGAGAGCCGCCGAGCGGGCGGGGC